TGTAAGGAGCATTAGGATTTCTCGAGACAGAAGGCTGTCTAAATTGATTAAGCTGATTAAATTGCGGTCTAGGGAATTGAGTTTGTTGACCGAATTATGGTCTTGGAAATTGTTGAGGAAAACGATTCCTCTGAAAGTTTTGTTGTGCAGAATAATTATTAGGGCGAGCAAAGTTTTGTTGAAAGGGAGGTCTTGGATTAAAGCGATTAGCATGAGAGACATTTGATCTCTGAAAAGATGTGCTGGGTTTTGGGGTATGGGAATTAGTGTTACTAAAAAATGTGGAAGAATCTTTGGCATGAATTATAGTCATTGCATTGTCTTCTTCTTCACAAATTCGCAAAGCATCTTGTAAACACGAAGGTCTGATGGATCTGAGACGATCTGAATAGGGATTTTTGACACCTAATATGAATGAGGAAAGAGCTAAACTTTCGTTACGTTCAATAAGGACGGACCTGAATGAGCAAGGCTTATGCATTCATTCATTTCTCTTAATTTATCTAGAACTCGTTCATAAAATTGACGGTAAGTTTCAGTGTTACTTCGCTTTAACATAGTCATTTCATTTGACAAGACTGTTTCATTTTTAGTATTTTTATAATTTCGAATAAGAACATCACGAGCTTCGACCCATGATGTGGCACCGTGATTTCTGACCTTTTCGAGAGCTTGATCTCGAATATTTAACATGACCAACTCGACAGCAGGCTCTTCGATTTCTGTGTTTTGAAATTTTGAAATGAACAACTCACTTTCTCGTATAAAGCTAGACAAATTATTTTGGTTAGGAGAAAATTTTGGCAGAGAGTCTTTAAGACTCCTGAATCGTAGTTCAAGCATCCTGTAACGTTCGTTACCATTCGGTTGTGCCATTGTGGTTTCAGAATTTGAAATATTTGAGTCAAGAGGAGGATCACTAGAACTAGAACTTGAACGTGGATAAGTGTAAGGGGAGTATGAACTCTCTCTACTGAATCGTCTAACAAGAGGCATAAAAATACAATCTTAAACATATTTAAACACCAGCGCCAATTAAATACGTGTGGATCGTGGGTGATTGATTGCACTGAGGAATTATCACTCGCGTTCCTATTTCTCTTATAATCGCCAAATGATGTTAGAGAAATACTTCAGTAACTTTTGTAGACTAACTTTTATTGAGACACCAGCAACAGTTGAGAACAGAAGAACAAGTAACGAAATGAGTACAGAGAATGGTCAAAGACCCTTTTTATATTATAAGATTACACTTACGAATTTTCCAGAAATCAGTAGTCTCGGGTAAAAATGCAAACATCACATCCTGTCTCACGAGTATAGGACGGTGTTATACTCGTAGGGACTTAGATGGTGTTAATGCTTTAAGGGTACCATAACTTGTATGGGCCGCTATTAAGGCTTTGGCACACAGAACGCGATCTGTCGCGGCGGCAGTTATCGCGCGATCCTCGTGGCGGGAAGCGATTTGTGACGCCACACAAGCCGCGCAGTGTACAGACGCGGGCCAGTCAGAAGTTTCATATTGTTGTATTAAGGCGCGTATACATCTGAGCATTCGGGTCGGATGAGCAAGGCGAGCGCGAATGAGCATTTGGAAGGGGGCTGCGTACACATCTGAATGGGACACGCGAGGGAGACACATGAGCTTTCATTCGGATTGCTCCATGAATGCTCGTAGTGCGCGCTTCAATATGGCGGATGAAAGTCTGGCAGTGGCTAGTGCTAGTTTTACTGTGATATGCAGGTTATTAAAGTAGAAACGAAGGAGACAGAGACGTCGATGGACATCACAATTATATATGAAAAGAGAAATTGGTATTAACAGTACCTTGTTATTAAATGATTTGTCCGAAGAAGGGACGGGTCACTTCAAGAATTTTACCCGAATGTCCCAAGATGATTTTAATTTTCTTCTAAATGCAATCAAAACGAAAATAATGAGACGTGGCACAGTATTTAGAAAAGCAGTCGGCGTTGAAGAAAGGTTGGCAGTCACTTTACGTTTTTTAGCTACAGGGGACTCGTATACTAGTTTACAGTACCTATTTCGGATATCAAAGCAGCTAATATCACAAATAATACCGGAGGTGTGTCAAGCTCTTATTGAATGTTTAATAGATCACGTTAAGGTAAGTAAAACGACATTTAAATGTAGAAAATCGTTTTATTGCCTACTTTAATAACATATAATACATGCTACTATGGGGTAGGATTATTATCCCCAGTATCATCTGAGAAACTTGCAAAATAATTATGCAAAGCTGAATTAGTACCGCTGTGTGAGCAAGATGAAGTAGGAGTTGATGAACGGGAAATTGAAGTTTGAGCAGGAGTAGGTGGTGTTTGAGGCATTGGTGGCAATAATTCACAATTGTTAAAGGAAGATTGTGGGAAGCGTGTGGATACTTGCTGATAATCGTATTGGTTTGTACTCATGGTCTGAGGATACCCTGGTGCAAATTCTCGCAAAGGCTGAGGAGCAGCTGAACTATTGTAGTGACTCATTTCTAAATCGAATAAAATATTGTTGACTCTGTGCTGGGCCAAAGATTTGAGACGATCATCAAATTTTCGAATTTTATTGGCAACGTGTTCTCCGTAGACGCTGCAATCGTCTCTTTTGTTACTTGCAGAACCTGAAGCCACGTTTTGCAGATATCCAAAAGCCTGCATTATTCTTGGATCTTCTTCTTCCTTACGCCTTTTGACTGCACGTTTTTTCGGTGACTTAAAAGTCTTTGTTTTTATTTCACTTGGAGCTGCTCCTTCTGAGGTTTCCAGAGCTGGTTCGTCATTTTGAGAAGCTTCTATTTCTGTATTGTTCCTTGGTTCATCAGTGAAATCTTCTATTTCCGAGGTAGTGTTTATCCCATCTTCAGGAGAATTGGGCTGTAGATTCTGCAAATAAAGAGAAATATATTGACAAGTAACCTGCAACAAAAGCAGACCATATCAGAATTATGTGGGGATGACAGAACAATAGATTTTACCTCAGTAATAGTAGCACATAGTAGCAAGTTTCTTTTTATGAATGTTTGTTTTTTTGTTTTGTGCTCTTTCTTCGGGCGAAATGCAACTTATCGACTTTCATGTTTTCTATACAAGTTCGCCCGGAAAACAAGCACTTAATTGACAGCGACCATACTAGCCTGAATAACATTTTTTTTCAGCTTCCAGCTTCGGAAGACAAATGGAAAAACGTCGCCCAGAAATTCGACGACATTTGGAATTTCCCACATTGCGTGGGTGCTATAGACGGCAAGCACGTAGTTTTACAAGCTCCAATTAAAAGCGGAAGTGACTTTCACAACTATAAATCATTCTTTAGTATTGTTCTGATGGCCTTGGTTGATGCCGACTACAATTTCATGTTTGTGGACATAGGATGCCAAGGCCGCATATCGGACGGTGGTGTATTTCAGAACTGTCAGCTGTATAAGAAAATTGCGAATAATGCTTTAAATCTGCCTACATCTTCGCCTCTAATTGGAAGAACTGTCGCAATTCCCTTTATATTCTTGGGCGACGCAGCATTCCCACTAAGTCAACACATAATGAAACCCTACGCTGGCCAACATCCAAAAGAGTCTCCTGAGCGAATATTTAATTATCGGCTCAGCCGGGCACGTCGTGTTGTTGAGAATGCGTTTGGCATTGCTTCTAGTGTTTTTCGCGTCTTGCGAAAACCGATGCTTTTAGAACCCGAAAAGGCACAGCTCATAGTAATGACAGTAGTTTGACTCCACAACTTTTTGCGCAGAAGCCAAACTTCAAGAAATATATATACGCCACCTGGTTGTTTGGATAGTGAAGTCGATGGAAACACAATACTCGGCACTTGGCGAACTGATAATCAGGAAATATCATCATCAGTTTTACCAGTAAGGAACATACCACGACGAAGCAAACCAGTGCCTACCAACATAAGATTGGAATTTACTGAATATTTTTGTAGCAATGGCGCCGTTCCCTGGCAAAGCAAATGTGCCTAAATAAATAATATTTATCTGCTTTCTCTTTATCAATAAATTATTACCTAACAATTAATTTCATTTGTTTTTAATTAATCGTAATTATTATTAGTGATAAATAAATCATTTCAGAAGGAGGTCAAACTAAAATATGAAGTTTGTTGGGGTAACGTAGGGGGTAGATTATTACTTAGTTGGTTTGTTTTCGCATGATCAGCTTAAAACCGTTTGAAACTACATAGACTACAGCAAAGAAATGTATTCTAAAGGATCAGGATAATAATAATGATTTATATGACATCTAGTAAATAATGATCACACGGTCTTGAGTAATGATACCACACTCTGTAAAATGTTAATGTTAAAAATTACCGAGATAATCGTACAAAAATAATAGTAATATTAATAATACCTAGGTGAGTACTTACATTTATGCTTCTCCGGGGCTCATCTTTGTCATCCAGAAATCTGAGGTAGTCGAAAGCAAACCATTGTGACGTATACGTTTCGTCCTTTCCTAAAAATACAAGTTTACGATTTACAGACGGCGCCAAACAATTTGCAAGTTAAAAATTAGTCAATCATATGTTTCCTACCTTTCCCTGTTCCGGTACTCTTCTTTACTTTAGCCCTTTCTCTTCTATAAGATCCCTTCAAGCTCTCAACTTTTTTCTGTATATTTTCTACATCTCTACCACATATTTCTGCGATCTCCCGCCATGCATCATCTTTCTTTACTTTGTTAAAATAACTAGGATGTCGAAGATTCCATAATATCGGCCTCTGATGGTATAAATCTATTATTTCCAAACACTGTTGTCGCGTGAAATCCATGATTGTATGTCCTTTCCGTTAACAAAATCCCTGTCGACGTCCACACTGATCACGTATGAGCGTGTTCGCCGCAAGCGCTCGCTTTGATCTACCGACAAAATTTGGATCGGGTCGAGCGTGCTCGGCGCACGTTGCTCAGTCGTCCACATTTGAATGCTCATTCGCGCTCGCCTTGCTCAGTCGACCCGAATGCTCAGATGTATACGCGCCTTTATGTTCTCAAAGTCTAGATCTCAAGAAGTGCTCTTGCTTCTTTTTGCTTTACAAAAAAAGAAAAAGAATAAAAGACGTTACTGGGTGCACGACATTAATAAGAAAAGAGAACAGTGTGGTGAATACCATCGCCTCTGTATTGAACTGCGGTCGCATGAGGACAAATTCTTTCAATATTTCCGAATGTCAAAGGCGTGCTTCGAAGAATTACATGAACTAATAAAAGTAAATATTGAAAAATGCACCACGAACTGGAGGAAACCAATTGATACAAGACAAAGACTGGCCATCTGTTTGAGGTAAGATTAAACCAAATATCCCATCCATTTTTTTATCTTTTTCCAATTAACTGATTACTTTGTCGACGTCATCTGAAGAGTTTTGCATTGATGTCTTCCCGGATTGCATTAATTTTTTTTTATTGGAGTTGGCATTTCTTCTGTTGGAGATTTTCGGCCAGATTTATTGCTATTTTGCTCACATCCAGTGGGCGACAAATTTTGTGACTCAGGTAACTTGCTTTCATCACTGTCTGTTAAGCTTTGGGATACATTGCTAGAATGAGAGCATGGCTTCAGAGTATAATCTAAAAACTTCATATGACTGCTCCACGGCCATTTACAATATTTTTTTGCCTGGCCTGTTTCACCCTTCACGGACTTTTTGTATCTGATGTACGAATCACGTAAATTTTTCCATTTCTGTTTAGCTGATTCACCTAAAACAAGAATAAAACTTATAATTATTATTACTTTTTCTATTTCAGATATCTGACTACAGGCGATAGCCATCAGTCTATCGCTTTTTGTTTCCGATTAGGATGGTCCACAGTATCCAAAATAGTGAAAGATGTCTGACAAGAAATTTGGAGGCCTCTACAACCAATTTACTTGCCCAGACCCACCACGAAGATGTGGAAGTAATCTGTAGCGGGATTCTTAGAACATTGGGGTTTCCCGAATTGCCTTGGAGGCATAGACGGGAAGCATATTAAATTAAAATGCCTTCGGAATAGTGGTTCAGCCTATTTTTGCTACAAAAATTATTTCTCCATCGTCCTCCTCGCGATTGTTGACCCATATTACAAGTTTATGGTAGTCGATATTGGAAATTATGGCCTCCATAGCGATAGCGCTATTTTTGAAAATTCAGTTTTCTATCAACAGTTTGTTCATGATAAAATTATTCTTCCCCCAAAACCACTTCCTGGAACAGAAGTCTCCGTGCCTCATGTATTCGTTGGTGACGAAGGGTTTCCACTCCAAACATATTTAATGAGGCCTTACCCAAAATCTGGAGTTATTAATAATGTTAGAAAGAAAACATTCAATCGGCAGCTCAGCAGAGCACGTCGTGTGGTTGAAAATGCGTTCGGCATTTTAGCTATGAAATGGCGACTGTTTTTAAGACCTATAGAAACAGACGAGGGCACTGCTGACTGGATTATGAAAGCGGCATGCTGTTTGCACAATTACATCATAACAAAAATCGGCAATAGGGAATCAGTCATTGAAACAGACGAACAAGTAGAACCAATACGAGCATTAGCAGCGACAACACCGACCAACAGAAGATCGAATGCTGTTGCGTTTGAAGTACGAGAGCATTTTGCTGATTACTTTAGTAAATAAAATCATAAACGTATTTTTGTATATTCTTTTGTGATAAATAAATATACTTACTGCTCAGTCCAAGAGTTTCAGCTATCTCCTTCCAAGCTTCAGTTTTTTCAAAACATTCTTGTAATCTTCATGTCTAGTGTCGTATAGAAACACATACTTTCTCACTGTTTCTATAAATTGTTCAGTATTTTCCGACATGATTTAATTTTTAATACAGACCGCGCGATAATCTGTAATTTTGTACGACTGTATCGCTTGTCGCCGCGATCTACACTGGCCCGCTGCGGGAGACCGCCTTCAGTGGGACTGCTTTAATGCAATGCTGCGTAATACAAGATGACCGCTTTCACGTCGCGGTCCGAGACCGCAGCCCGCCGCGACAGATCGCGTTCTGTGTGCCAAAGCCTTTAGTCTTGCCTCATAACGCATTGCTGACGTCCTGCATATCGTCTAGTGCTACCACAAGGCTTAACAATTGATTTAAATCGTTTCATTCGTTATAATAATTTCTAAGACGGAAAACGAAAAATTACAATTTCTGTCCATTTCTGTGTGTAACACATGGCAACAGAGACGACTGTGGTATGTCATAAAAACATCAGGTTTGCTTGAGGATTAGAGACTCTTTATGGGAGACAAAATAGTTTATAGAAAAGGGCACTATCCCAATTTTAGAATAACGGAACTATAATTAATGATTTATCTAAAATTTCACGTCTTCGAGAAAACGTGAATACGAGGGGAGGTCAGAAAGTACGCAATCCACGGCACCGGAAAAAAACATCATTACACATTTTTCAACTAATAATTTTCGTAGTTTACATTTAGAACTAGCAATACTACTGACATTCCTGAGTTAAGCTGAAAGTTTGTTATATATTCTGATGCAGGAGTATTCCAGTGACTTTTCGAAAGAAAATAAAGAGGGGTCAAAAACGGAGGGTTCCGGACGAGCTTCCGGAAAACGGCCGGTTGGATGCGATAGAGTAGGTCATATTGATGCCAGAAATGTAAAACACTTTTTGGTCTATGACCGTTTTGAGGAATAATAGATTTTTTCAAATTTGCTATGTATACACAAAGGGGGGTCGAAAGCGGGGGTTCCGGACTTGCTTTGGCAAAACGGCTGGCAGGGTGTAATAGAGTATGTTATATTGATGCTAGAAATGTAAAAAACTTTTTGGTCTTCGGCTGTTTTAAAGAATAATAGATTTTTTCAGGTTTGTCATGTATAAATAAAGAGGGGTCAAAAACGGAGGGTTCCGGACTTGGTTTGCGGAAACGGCTGATATGGTGGGATTGACTAGATCATATTCATGCGAGAACTGTCCAAAACATTTTAGTCTTGGGCGGTTTTGAAAAGCTATAGATGATTTCTGAAATATTAGGTTTTAAAGGGGGGTCAATTTGGGGGTTTGAACTTAGCGTAAGTAAAATATGCTTTTTCTAATCCATTTACGTGAAAACCGCATTTCTCCAGGTTTAACTTAACTAGATGATTCATAATGATTATTGGATAAGCAATGAAAAGTGTGAACTTTCTAATATCTAATATAGGAATGTGAATTACAAAGGTAATTTCATTTTGAGTAGATACGATAGATAATTTACATAAATCGTAAATTTCGTATAAATGTAGAGTTTTATCAAGGTAATTAGAACATCTTTCTAGATTCGTTAATAATGATATTTGATGTATAATTTTATGAGATAGATAGGTTTGGTTGTCCAAGGCTAAAGTGTTTCGTGAAATTGCGATCTGAATTCGCTTGGTGTTATTCTCAAAGGTAGTTTGCAATGATCTACAGAATGAAATCATATTTTGATTCGTTTCTATGAAATGTTCTTGGTTATTTCGCAAAGCTTTTTGATTAGCGAAAATTGTATCTAGATCGTCTTGATCGAGATTTCCTGATATAAATTTTATAACACTTCCTAATTCGTTTATGAGTCCGCGTTTGACTCGAGATTTGGTCAAGGTTTCGTATTTCGTGTTTACTTAGGCAAAAGTTTGGTCTATTTGATTATTTGATTCATTAGGTTTGGAAGATTGAACGTTGATAATATCGTGAAACATTTGCATCGTGTTTGCTAAATCACTATTACTAATGAAAAAGTAGCTCTTATGATAGAAATCAATATTTCTACTCTGACCTTTAGATATTTTAAGTATTGGGTGCAGATTGACTGGGTTCTTCATGATCAGACTCTGGCATCTGAAAACGAGGTGATTTTACTTTCTTAATCATATAAGTTCTATCTTTAACTAGGATTTTAGAATCATATTGCTTATAGTTTGTTAGTTTTAAGTATTTTTGCTTATGTTTCGGTCGCCGTGAAGAGTCTTGGGGCGTCATATAAATGGAGCCTTTTAGTATTGGTATTCTGGATATTTTTAGCTGTTTATTTCGTTTTTCAATAGTAAATTAGTAAATTTGATTTGCTAAGTCTTTATTTTGTTCATCTTGTTTTTGTTGGATTTCATTATGAATTTGTATGGGTTCTTTGATCCCATTTTTTTTATATTTCGAAACAGCCGCGCAGGCAGAAGCCTAAATGCCGGAACACCGCGGCTGCTATGATTATCCCAAAGAAATTTTGTTAATACGATTTTTAACTGCTTAAGGTTAGTAAAACTGGGAAAAGCTTCCTCTTGTAGATTGTTCCACAATCTAGACACCCTCGAGACAAAGGAGCGGTCGTATCGGCCAGTTCTGGATGTACGAAGTTTGGCACGGTTAGGATGGGACGCCGAAGTCAGGCGGGTCTGTCTGGCAGGCACATCGCGCGGCGGTATCATGGAAGAGAGCTTTGAGGAGCAAAGCCCGTTGGTGTAGCGATAGAAAAGAGCTAGATCGCCGACGGCCCGCCGGTGCGAAAGAGTCCCGAGACTGTTTGTTAGAGAAGAGTCATCGATCAGTCGGACCGCCCTCCTCTGGACAGCATCGAGCATGGACAATGTACTCGGGGCGACAGCACCCCAAATGTGTGAGCAATACTCGAGGCTAGGCCTTATCTGGGCTTGTATAGAGTGAGAAGGTCATGCGGAGAAAAGTACTTCTTAACCCTAAACAAATAGCCTAGCTTTTTCCCAGCAGCTGCAGCTATTGAAGAGATGTGTTCGTGCCAGATCAGGTCCTCAGTGATCTGGACTCCGACCAGCCGAAATGAATGGCTCTTTGGTAGAACTCGGCCGTCCATCGAAACTGTATGAGCACTAGGACGCTTTTTGTTCGTCAAAGTACAGTATTGTGTTTTGGGAGCATTGACATGTACAAGATTGTTGCGTCCCCAAGCAGTGATAGCCTCCAGGTCTCTTGTCAGAGAAGAAGTCGTCGCTAGTCTTTTCTTTTCCAGCTCAGCGGCAGAGATCGGCTTGTCACTCTGAATTCCTGCATGTAGAGTGCTGTCATCAACGAAGCTGTGGATTGGGTTGATCGTGCTGGAAGTGAGATCGTTGATATGTAAGAGAAACAGTGTTGGAGCCAAGACCGATCCCTGGGGAACACCCGCGTTGACGTTGTGGGATGAAGAGGAGAATCCGTCAATTACGACGGATATCTTGCGGCGAAAGATAAAGTCAGCCACCCATCTACAAAGCTTTTCTGGGAGGCCATAAGATGGAAGTTTGCTTAAGAGGGCAGCGTGCCACAGCTGATCGAACGCTTTCGTGATGTCAAGAGCAACGACATGAGCCTCACCATGAGACTGGATGAGTTTACTCCACAGTTGCGTGGCGAAAGCTAGGAGGTCCCCTGTGGATCGTTGGTGCCGGAAACCGTACTGCCTGTCGCTAATCAAGCTGTGACGTTCGAGGTAGTCCAGAAGCTCGCGATTTATGCACCTCTCCATCACTTTACTTATAACAGAAAGCAGAGCTATAGGCCTGTAGTCGTAAGGGTCGGTCTTAGATCCCTTTTAGGATGGGCTGTACATGAGCAAATTTCCAGTTTTCTGGGAAGGTGCCGGATTCATAAGATATCTGGAAGAGACGCGAAAGAACTGGAGCAAGCTCCGCTGCACATCTCTTCAGTACAATGGCAGGAATCAAGTCCGGACCAGAAGCTTTGTTGATGTCGAGCGACAAGAGCACTCGTCTTACGGTCTTATGCCTGAATGTTACCTCCCACATAGTGTGGGGAACCCTTTGAATTGACGGCACTTGGGCGTTGGTGGGAACGTCCATGGTGGAGTTGGCAGCAAAGATCTTGGCTAGCACTTCCGCCTTGGCCTTTGAGTCGAATACAATAGTTCCATCCTGACACGTAAGTGGTGGAAGGCTACTGTGTGAGAAGTTCTTTTCAATCTGCTTGGCCAGCGTCCAGAAAGACCGACTGCCATTGAGCTGCGACATTACCCTGTGCCTAACTTTTATATCATGCTGGTTTTTGGCATTGCGAACCGCTTCGTTATATTTGTTTCTGGACTCGACGTCGGCTTGTCTCTTCTCTACAGTGGGGTTTTGTAAGTAGGTTCTGTGTGCCTTGATCTTCTGCTGGCGAGCAGTGTCACACGATTTGTTGAACCAGCCGTTGGACCCTGGTTTAGGAACTTTCACTGTGTGAGGGATGTATTCCTCCATTCCGACGTGGATAATTTCGGTTATTGAAGAACAGACAGTCGACGCATCCACGTCAGTGAAACAGACATCTCTCCAAGGAAAGCTAGAGAAGAAGTCTCTGAGCCCTTCCCAGTCGGCATGTCCGTAATGCCAAGTTTTGCGGCCTGTACGAGTTTCTGCTGCCACAGCGGCTTCTGACCGAAACCTAACCTCCACAACACCGTGATCTGAGTTACCCAGGGGGGCAGGACAGCAGTGCTGTAAGGGACAGGATGCGTGGTCAGAAAGAGCCAGCAGGCTACTGGCGTGTGACGAGACGCGGGGGAAAAATTAGGGCTCGTCACCAGCTGGGTCAGCCCTTGAGTAAGAGCGAACGCTTCGACTGCACGACCTGCTGCATCGGTCTTATTTGAGCCCAACCAAAGCTCATTATGGGCATTGAAATCACCGAGAAGAACTACCTCTGAAGCGGGGTGATTGATGTTCAGGAAGTCGATCTGGACGGC